CTAAAACGAAAACACCCGAAAAACACCCTGGTCCACCAATTTAATGCCCACGTTCCTTACATTAGCTGTCCCAGCTATGTCAGTTACGTGAAATAAGTAAGAGGGGAAGAAAAAGCGAAGGTAAGAGAGTAGGGGAAATCAGTTAAAAGAAGAGAATAATACCAATGGTGAGGAAAAGTAAAGAAAATAGAATCGAAGTATGAAGATGGGAATTTGTCAGGAAAATGGAAAGGTTTCGTGTTGCCACCCAAGAGCATCTAGTTGACGCTCAAACCCCTTAACCGTAGCTTCCTTGACAACATTTTCTGGAAGCAGGTTCCAGCGCTCGATGACTCGACGCGATAAGCGTGTCTCCGCTCTAACTCGATCGGACCGCGGTTTGTCCAGCTTCATACAATGCCTGCGAAGACCAGATAATCTAGCAGGACTAAATAGCATGGACAAATCAGGACCAACCTTCCCAGTCAAAATACGGTAGGTTAAGATTAGGTCCCCTCTAATTCTTCGATAGTGCATTGAATGCATCCCCAAACTAAGTAGGCGTTCGGGGTACGTTTGCCCTCGTAATCCCTTGACCAACCTAGTACCGACACGCAACACCCTTTCTAGTGCCATTTTGTCCCGGACAAGGCATGGTGGACAAGCCTGGACGCAATATTCTAGGTGGGATCGCAAAAACAGATGTGCCTTCGACTTGGTGAACCGATGTGTCCTCTGGGACTGTCTGCTGAGGATAGATGTGTCCGACAAATACATAAAGATTATCAGATCGCCTTATGAGCATGGTTCGGGCAGAGTGAGGGCTCACGGCAAACTGTCACCGCGCTTCAATAGCTCCAGCGGTGTGAGACAAGGAATGCCCACTTCCACCATTTGTTAAATCCTCCACGAACGAAATCATGGCGACTACGTTCAATGGACACGACTTGCAAGAGGTGGAGCTGTCCCCATGTGATCGAGTTCTTGACTTAAAGTACGCTGACAACATTGCCCATAACCGTAACAGCCTCCAACGTGCCAAGTAGCAAGCATCCTCACCCAAATGAAGTAACTGCTCACCGTTATGATTACGTGAGACTACACCATGTTGGCCGTCCAGATGCAGTTCATCAGTCGATAATTTTCCAATTTGAGCGTTCAAATCCCCAGCCAGTACTACAGTGTCGGCGCTCTTTCTGTTGCGAAAGAGCTCGTTCAGTTGACGATAGAGGTCGTCTTTTACCGAGTCGTCGATAGAGTTTGTAGGTGCATAGGCAGCGATAACGAATAGACACTTGTTAGTCCCGTGCGGCTTCGAAAGTTTGAACGAGCCAGCCAATCGGACCGCACACAACCCGCTAGTGATTAGTATCCAATCAACCAGAGTAGCTTCAGCCCGAGGAATCAGGGCAATACCAACACCGGCTTGGCCGGTACTCGAAGCTGCCTCGTCACCGGATACACGCAATGAGGAAGTGTTGCTGATGTTCCATGAACGGGATGGCAGAGTGAAAACAGAGCTGGAGTCTTGAAGGCAGGTCTCTTATAAGAAGCAGTAATCGATCGAGAGGGTCTCTAATGTTCGGGCAAGTGCTGCCTGTTGACCGATCTGAAGTAATGTGCGTACATTGAAGCATGCCAATCTGAAGGATGATCAAGGGCCGCAAATGGAAGCCGATGAACTGGGCTTGGACGCTTGCTTGGAAATGGGCCTGTTGACAGGGCAGGAGTGACGCTCCGCGTCCACATGTAAGTTGAAACTAAAAGTTAAAAGCCTATAAAAGCAAGGTGGGGGAGGGCCAAGAATTGGGGGTTGAAAACACGGGGGATAAAATTGAAGCTGGAACGGGATGGTGTGAGTGAAAAAGCGTAAGAGAGAATAAGAAGGTAAGTAGGCTTGAGCAGTAGCATCCCAACCCCAATCCAGCCTGCTTGATGCAGCAGATAGGGCACCGTTGATTATACGCTGCGGTGGCCAGAGCATCAGGAAATTGTTTGAGGAAAGATTCAAAGAATCACGTGGGCAGAATACTTTCAGATTGCCCAGGAGTAGACAGGAGAACGATTAGGGTTCTCAATCAAAGCCTTTGGTTCAAAAACCTGACCGCAAGGCATGGGTTTGGCGTTGGGCTACATGGAGTCCGTTTTAAGGAATAAGGAGCCACCCTCATTCCAACCCCCAACCTGGAGGACCAGGAGGCTGTTTGTCTGGCCAGTAACCATGGACCAATCTGGTATGAGTGGCTCTGAAGGTGCAAAAAAGCACCATCCAGCATAGCTCAATGGATCACTGAGGCACATAAGCCATCGTACCACGGTAAGGTCCAGTCTCATTGCGATGGAAAGTATCTCAGAACCCCCAGCAGTGTCATAAATAGTATCTGCGGTATGAGCTTTCAACCTGGACTTCCAGCGGAGCATGATGTCACCTCCAGATCTGATGCCAAGTGAACCAGTCCGAGAGAACCGATAACCAGGAAGAGCATCAGCAGTACGCCGGTACGGAGTGCCGACGCACCGCTGCCGTGCAACCACCACCGGTCGCACGTGGGCTAAGGATAGTGTGAGGGTCGTGCTGCCCCTACGCGGGCTCGAACCCGCGCCGCAAGATTACGAGACAAGCTGGTTACTTCTAGACAACGACCCGGCGTTTTCCGGAATCAAGAATATACGGGGACAGCCACGTCTCATTAAAACCCATCAGGTCAAGTTGCTACTGTAAAGTGAGAAGACAAACCGCATCCAGTTTATTTCACAGGCTTCGCACATTGGCGGACATCACACACAACCCAAACTTAGAAACTAGAAACCGGGTGCAATAAAGACTGGTCGCCATTGAGCTTTCGGAGTCAAATGAACCACACGAAAATCCACAATATGAAGAGTAGATTTATCTTCGGCTCGGAGGGTCAGAAGTTTAGCAACGGGGCTCTTCATCCCAGCTCGGCCTTCTAGGCAGATATCCCTCAAGACGTGGAATATTTCGCTCTTAATATGTAAGGTCCGAGTGAGAACATGACGACATTTCTGTTCATCTTGACAAAAGATTTGCAGCGAACGAACCTTGGCAAGGTCATCAAACATCCTACTAAGGCGAAATGCAGAGCCGACATTGATCCCCTGATCCCCCTAGTCGAACAGTAAAGAAACCATCAGCTGCAGGAAAACTTGGTCAGTAACTATCCTCACGGTCGGCGATTGCTTGTTAGATTCTGTAGCGTTAAAGATACTCAAACGTCGTTCACGAGGAGGAAGTCTGTTTTCCTAGGAAGAAGCCGACTTTTGTGTTTTGGGGTACGCCCTATCTAGGTCCTACCGTTGACTCATCTTGTCAAGTACGAGCTCTAATTGAGTACGGAAGGAGTTTAGCTGTTTCGGATTCCTCTTTGTATAGATCCGACGAGATGCGCTCAATCTATCCGTTGACATAGCGCTTTGACTCACTATTGCAGCATATGTTCTCGGCTTAAGTTGACTACGCTGCTCCCCAGTGGCCAACAGTTCCAACGATGAAATAGATGATTTTCGACTCGGTTTTCTTTTAGTAGTTGGGTAAGACGCGGGTAGACATAAAAGAGAAACTTGAGTTGTTTCAGCTGTACGGACCATAGGCCGGGCAGGAACGCAATGTGCACTCATCATGCATCATTACACACATTAGCTAGAGGTAGAAAATACTTCCGTTGTTGTGCCGAAATATGCAAGAAAAGCAGAAAAACATGCGACAGAGGCACAAGAGCTGAGCCACCAATAACGAATGAGCATCGTGCTGGAGAGCTATTATCCGGCTATAATATCGCAAAAAGTGACATTATACGTCAGAGATGAGATGGTGGTCGGAGAGAGAGGCTAAGCAGTAGGGGGAGGGACAAAGAAACTCACAACACAAACGTCAGTGGCGTCGGTTCTTTGATATGTCAACTTGTGTATCCAGCCAAAGGTGTTTCTTGTCCTTCGGTCCCCAACCAGGGAGCCGAGGTTCCAAGCGAGGTCAAGTACGAAGTGAGAGCCTTTACTTTTCTTAACCAAGTCATCGCTTGCCCCCCTTCGCAAAGTGAACTGGGTTGTAAGAGACTCGCCGCGAGGCGTTTATCCATCAATATGGCTCGATGGTTTAGAAACGTAGTTGATAACCGATGAGGCGTTCATACAGAGATGTGTCGATATTACACCAGCTAGTATGCAGCCATCCATTGCACAAATAGCATTGAACGGTTTACGAGCGGGAAGTAACCCCTTAGCTGCAATTCAAGCATCCGGATTTCATGGTGCCTTATATATCTGACTAGGGTCATATATTCAGTATGTAACTCTAGAGAAACGATATACAACCGCTTTGCTTCACCGGTATTACCTCAATGGAACGGAACAAAAAAAGACCATTATCTGCTTCTACATTTCGCGATTCTTCAGGAGTGTACATTATGTCAGTCTAGTGAGCAGATAAAACATGTGACCAACTGCTTCCAGGGTAGTGATCAAGGACACTGAACTAGGAAAGATAGCAGCAGTAGTTGTGATACAAAGCAACCCATACTTCTCAACCAAGTTAAGATGAGAACTTTTCAGTACCGTTAATATGTCCCTGGTGTGCCTTTGAGCAGTTTATAATACCTTCAGCCAAGCCCACCTCTGAATAACATAGTAACAATTATGAATATTAACCATGACCTCATCCATACACCTTAGTTGGACAATCAGTGGTAGCTCTATCCAAAAGAAGGACTCCTTTTTCTATTATGTACGAAACAGCGTAACAGGATAGTTTGAAGATATTTAATTATGGTGAATAAATAGTAGGAAGCCAGTTGGATAAAAACTAAATAAACGAGTAAATATAAGTTAACATAAAAAGCGTATACGATTATAAGATTGTAAAATTAATATACAGTATCCACTAACGACAGTATACTCTAGTAAACTTAAACTACGCAAATTTTGGTGTTCTCACATTTAATGCTCTATAGGCAAAGGTTTCGTAAAGAAATTATCGACAAGAATGAGATTAAAGTTGGACTTACGGAAGAAAGGCGAGAGCACGAACAGTTTGAGTACCCACTGGAAGAGTAAACGGATTCCGGAACTTTTGCGTCCCGAAGTTATGAAGGTCCTTGTCGTTCTTTTTTACTACCGGCCTGCTCCCATTGATAGTAAAATATATAGTGGTATTTGGGGTCTCAGAAATGATTTCCAATTTCGTATTTGTATCTATCTGTGACTTTGGAAGCTCAGCGGTGGGTATACGTAGAGGGATTATCAGAGGAGCACGGACGGCACCAGCAGACATGGCTCGAACTATAACTTACATTGAATGTTCAACCTGAAAAAGAAAAGCCGATTAATATACAAGATAGAGAATATACAAAAATATATTTTTCACTAAGGCAATACGAGGTTAGTAGGTGAATGCGCGAGGACGTTGGTTCAAAGCCAGTGAAGTGATTGACAGTCGCCTGACCAGAGGTCACAACATATCCAGCACCAATCGCAGCTGCATATGGTGCAGTGAATATGATTACAACCCCCGGTTTTTTCAGTTGGAGTTTTGCACCTTGGACAGGGACGACACAGTTTTGCTATGGCCAGCCGATTCTGATATTCGGCGCTGGAGGAAAAACCTTTACACCATGTTCGGATGAGACCAGTAAAACCAGTACGATTTGTGTGCCGCTCGGAAGGACAGTCACCGCATAAACAAGTCGAAGAAGATGTGGAACATTTGAAAACCCAACCGCATGTACTACAGAACACACAGCCGCAGCCAGCTGGGGGGTCACAGCTGAACCATCGAGGTTGTTCACCACAGGTGTCACCAGTCCCACTACGCTGTACAGAGTTTGAAGCGTCCCAAAGCTGTCCACACTGAGGGCAGAATATACAATCACGTGCATAGGTGTATTTTGAAGCGGAAAAGTCTTTGTACCGTTCATAGAATTCAGCGCCTAAGATACGGAAATGATGAGGATCGGATATAAATGAATTGGTGCAGCCAGCTGGACATGGAAGAGTGAATCCGATATCTTCGACTAAGTGAAACAAACCGTTATCTAGATATTCCTTTGCATAACATTTAAAGCACTCAAGACAAAGGACGTGTTGATGTTCTACGCAAAAATTGACCAGAATCTCAATGTCATCAGCATAACACGCGATACATGGGGAGGACTCCAGATTGCGCCTGATTTGTTCCAGAAACACGGCTGGTTGATGATCAGGACACGCCAGGCACAAGAAACTAACGCGAGCGCTTGTACTTCCACAACCACCAACGTTACACCGACCAATTGCAGTTCGGGTAGCAGCTGAGATCGATGAAGGCGTGAAGTTAGAGTTTGAGCAAGATTCGCAAGTAAAACACAAACGAGCAGGAGAAATCACTTCACAAACATAGCAATATACGAAAAAACGATTCTTTGTTTCGTGTCTAAACAAGTCAATATAGCAGTTTTCGGTTATTCCACAGGATGACGCCTTATCGTCTTCGTTCAATTTTCGGTGATTCAAAAATAATGCGTACTTTTCAGAATCCAGCGAAAATTGATTGCACGCAATTTGTTTTAAAAACAGTATGTTCCATTGGATGTCGACGAAAAGTTCCCGTTCAGAGTCCTTGAAACGAATTTTGACGATCATTTGAAGATCGCACGTTGTTTGGGCATGAATTAAACAACGCCTTAGGAACCGCGTTGTCAAAAAAGACAGCTTTTTATCTCACGATGTGGAAGAAAAGGTACGTCTAGTATTATTTCTAATGCTTTCTGAACTTTTAAATTAGTCAGGTAAATTAATATACATGTTCATAGTGTACAAGAGAGGGAGAACCCTGGGCAGCTCCATCGCTTCTTGATCATTGCTGGGCTGCACATCATTTCGCGACGAAAACTCCGTCGAGACCTTCGCACTCGTGGCTGAAATAACACGATCCTGGCATTTCAATAGGTGGAAATCAAGTAGTCGCTTGAAACCATCCTCTGTCTGCGCATCAACCACGGCCGGCGGTAACCTGATTTAGTTATTCACAGCGCGAGTGGATAGTGCAAGAATGGACCGTACTTTGAACCTCCGTGTTTTCAAAATTTTCCGTCGGTGACCTCTAGTGGAACACCCAAGTTGAGGTGACAAAATTCCCGCAACTTTCTCCCTAGCTCTCTCCTGCGGAGACGACGGGGAAACATCAAATACCCGCGCCAGCGACGGTACTCCGTAGAAAGCCTAATCAAATGTCGAAGCCGAAGAGGATTAGGCAAGTCACGTAACTCAGAGACAAACTTCGATCCACACCGTTGAACCTTTTTAATATTGCTGCCGTTAAATTTGGAAAGCGGGTAGGCAGATGGGCGCCGTATGCTGGAATCGGGTGCAAATGCGAGGTGAACAGGAGTCTAAAAAGCTAGCGACAAGCGACAGAAAGCTCTTCGAATGGCGTGAAACATCTTGTATGCAGCGGCAGCCCTCTTCATTATGTCCTTAGTGGAGCTTATTGCTGAAAACCACTCCTAGACCGCTCACTGAAGTGGGATTTTAGAGCAAGCAATCACCTAGGTTGTAATCACTGAGTGGTTAAGGAGCGTCAATAGAAAGGATGGAACATATGTTTTTATTAATTTGTGAGCGCCACTGAATCGAGCAACTGTGCAGAAGACCGTGCTTCTCTTGTAGTCGATTAGCATCATCTAGAGAGAATATCTCTTTCCATATCTTCAGATCATCCGCATAAAGCAAGCTATCCGATTGAAGCACAGTCGGTAGATGATTGATGAAAATGTTGAAGGGTTCGGGGACCAGGACGGAGCCCTGTGGGACACCGCTGGTCACATGTACAGCATGGAACGACTGCGTAGGAAATCGGAAATCCACGAGAGGGAGATTCCAGTGACACTGATTCCTCGTAGTTTGAAGCGAAGCTGTTCATGCGGGACTTTCTCAAATGCCTTGCTAAAATCCACGAACACAACATCCAGTTGTTTGCTAACATCCAGTGGATTCGCCCATTTTTCTCCCCTCATAAGCAAGTTGGTAGAGCAGGAGCGAGTTTTGCGAAAACCGTGCTAAGCACCGGATATCAGATCCAACCTCTGAAGAAGAAGCCGAAGTGCAAGTTTCAAGACACGTTTCATGATTTTGCAAGCCATCGATGTAAGGCAAATGGGCCTGTAGTTAGCTGGGTCTTGCCGGTTCCCCCTTGTATATGGCCATGATGATGCCCATCTTCCAAGCGGTCAGAAGAACTCCGGACTGCAACGATCGATAGAAGACCTAAAAAATAGGAAAAGCAATGTAATGAGCCACTGCCTCGAAGAAAAGGGGTTCAAGTCCTCATGACCAGGCGGTGCGTAAGTATCCAACTCACGGAGAAAATTTAGCACAACGTCAGTGTTAAGATCAACGTGATCAAACGGAGAAGTAAGAGTGCACTCAGGTATGTAAGAGAGGGATGCTGTTGTCGAGTACACCGAAGTATAACTCCGCGCCAGGAGGTTGGCTTTGTCGGTGTCTTCGTGGACTGTATTTCCGTGCTCAAAGGAACACATGCCAGGGATAACACTGCTCACTCTGTTGATATGTTTGAGGTTACAGAAAAGTGTATTAGGCGTCTTTCTAGAAGGTGTGGTTAGGGAGAGTTATATTGTGACGTGTCTCATGTTTTTCCAGTGTAGAGCTATTCCTAACGGTTTTGTGACCGAGGTAGTCATGCTCTGGTCGCGTGATCCCAAAGCTGTCCCACAACTTTGCCTTGTGTTTTTCAGGGATCTCAGTCCACGATCGATCCAAGAAGACTTCTAGCGTGCGGTCGCTTTTTGGAGAGGGGGACAACTTGTTCATTGGGTGACGTCATCTGGGAGTACAAAATTTCCGGGCACCGTCAGCATTGAGATGCTCGGGAATACACCAATCCAAAATACCTGCAGCCGTTTTGAGACGAAGGGCATCTGCATGCCAGGAATTTCGGCGGACGGCACGTGGGTTGTGAAAGCCAGTGAGTAGTACTATATTCGCTTCTACCAATGGGTTGAAAGGCTGTTAGGTACATGTAGTATGGCTGCGCTGTGGAGAGCAAAAGCTCCAGGATATGAGGAGACTAGCCGGCGAGAATACGGGTCGTAATAGAGACAGATTGCTGCAGGCGGCTGTGGAGAATGGTATCGAGGAAGGCTGCATCAAAGGAACCAGTGGACGATTGCAAAAAAGGAGGTCGTAAGCAATATTAGGAGCATTGAAGCCTCCCAGAATGAGGCAGTCGTTTCCTGCTCCCTGCTTTCTGCTCAATTCCAATCGGCGGGCTCCAGCGCCCAGTGGCGCCCTGTAGATGACACCAACCAAGGAAGATCAGCACCCGTCATGAATGCGGCACCAAAGGGCATCGAAATCGTTGTCACTGTCACGTGCGACCTCAACTAGATGGGACTGCAGATACATCTCCAGTAGAGTATTAAGCCACCTCCAGCGTTCTTCTCTTGACGATCGGCCTGAGAAAGCTGTCAGGCAGAGATAGACACCTCAGAGTCAGTGATGTCTGAGAATATCCATTTTTCGGTGAAAGCCATTAAATCAGAACAAACATCTGCGGTAAGCGTCTGGATCATGGCTTGTTTCTTTCGCAGACTGCTTACATTGGCGAACAGCACACACAGTCCGTTCTTTTGCATTACTGTCCTGAAGTGACAAAAATCGGCCACCAACAGGTTCTCGTAGTTTTTCGACCTACGCGAAAACCCACGATATGAAGGTTCGTTTCACCACTTTCCCGACGGGACCTCAGCTCATCAACACTTTATTTCATTTTGATCCGATGTTACGGAGTAACTCTTAACACAAAAGCGGCTTACCATTGGTACGTGTGACCCGTCGGAGAATGCGCTGACATTCTTCTTCGTCTTGGCACACAAGCTTAAGGGGGCGAGCCTTGAGGGAATGTGCTTGTTTCCTACCTAAGCTGAAGGCCGAGATAACGTTACTTCCCTGTTTGCCTTCGTCGAATAACCCAAAGATCAGTCGTTTCAGGAACACTTAATGGTACAACATCTTACGTGCTGGCCATCTTGGTCGATTCAGTCACATTCATGATGGTGCGGCGTTGGTCACGGGAGGGTAGTAGGGCACGCCTGGGGGTCTGTGGTTGGGGAGGAGTTACGCTGTATTTGAACAACGATTCCAAGTGGTTAATCTTGTGGAGAACAGGTGCGAACTGGGACCGAGGGGAGAAAGGCTTGGATTTAGACCTAGTCTTAGTCAGCGTGTTACCTAACCCGGATGTGTACACTGGCGGCGATCTTACTTTCCCTTACAACCGCTCTACACGTCTTTGTCTTGCGCTCAAGGTGATGGACGTATGCCAATGGCTCGGAAAAGGAATCAGAGGGCCTGCGACTTCTCTTACCTAGGAGGATGTTGCTACGGAGGCAGAAGGGGGATAAGGAGGATTATCCAGGTGGACCATGGAAACGGGTGCTTTGGGTTTCGTTGGAATGGGTTGAGGGTTGATCTAGGGGAGCGTACCCACAAGACCTCTGTTGTTCAAAGAAGTACTGCAGACATCACAAAGGAAACCATGTTTGGAGAAGTCATCAGCCATAGCGTTTCGTACTTATCAGGACCGAAGCTACAATAAGCGATTTGCACCCAGCCGTCACACCCAGAGCACCGTACGACTTTTGAAAGCGAAGTAACACCTTTAGCCCAATACACGCAAGCACAAGCCATAGAAGATAGGGTCCAAATATTTAGATTGTGACTCTCCAGAAAACGACATCGGTTCGTTTTTCCTCACTTTAAAGGCTGTAGTGAAACGATAGTTGCAGACCATCCAATACCCTGGCTTCCCAAAGTTTGCGTAAATATTAAGCAAATAAATACATAAAGGTATATTGCTGGACTTGACTAGAAGCTGTGCTCTCGAGGGGTCAGATCATTATGCACAGTAACCCCATGCTCTTGCATGGGTAGTAACGGAGTTAACTATGTGTACTCGTCAAGCAAAAGTATTGCATTAAATCTGTAGAAAACGCCACTCAATGTTAAATATTCCTGCTCCATAAGCCATTCTGGTAAATTGCGGTCCCGATAAATGGTGTGCCTATGGAAAGAGAGAAAAAAGCAACGCCATCATAAATGACAAAATCTCTAATGATTTCTAGCAAACATACATGAAAATCTTTTTAATATAAACAACTAAAAGCGGACGGTACTTCGGCGAAATTAGCTCGAGATCCTAATCGTGCAATATGGCAAATAAATCTGATTAACGGATGAGCTCGAGCGCCAAACAAATGGCTTTAATGACAGCCAAAAGTAATAACCAGTTTTATTGCGTCAATATTGCTAAAAATAAAACCGGAATAAACGTCAGAGCATCGCTTGATCGCTATACACGATTAGAGCAAAATTACCGCATTACTTGCAGCATTTCCCTAGTTCTGGAGCAACTGCCAATACCCTAGCTAAAGATTTTCCTACCAAAGCCGTATGACAATTTAAGCATATAAGGTGAAATTAAGAAAAATCATAAACATTAGCTCACGGCTACAAGATCTCAATAGGGTTGCGTATCTAGAAATGTACAACATAGCTCCAAAGTGGCGATACTTAGGATGTAGGACGTGGTGGCCGAGAAACACACTTTCCAAGCGTACGTAATAAACCCTTGAGGAAT